GAGCCTGACACGGGCTTGATCCCAGGACCCTGGGATCATGACCTGAGTCAAAAGCTGACGCTTAACCGACTGAGCCACCCAGGCACCCCTTGAGATCTGATTCTTGATTACTTTTTACAAAATTTCACATAGATTTAGTACTTTCAGAGGGTATTTAATGATCGTAAAAGTTTTTGTGACCTTTACAGGACACAAAGGACTTGTATCCTTTACATTGCAGGACATGAACAATTAACCAGCTCATGAGTGCCTATGGTTTGGTACCTAGTTGTTAGTGGTGGACATTGTCTACTGAGGTCTTGCCACAGGAGTGGATCCCATCCTCTAAAATTTCTTTTTGCCTGAGATTGCTTTAAGCTCCACTCCTGTCTTTTTTCAGTACGCTCAATGTGGTTTGTTCTGTGGATTTTACTAAACATAGGGCTGGTCCACATTCCATGCCACTTGATGCCCTGAGCCACAGTTTTTTTTTTTTTAAATTATTTGAGAGAGAGAATGTGTGCATGCGCACTGAGCAAGCACGGGGGTGGGGAGGGGCAGAGGGAGAGAGAGAGAGAGTAACTTAAGCAGACTCCATGCTGCTCGTGGAACCTGATGTGGGGCTTGATCCCACGACCCTGAGATCATGACCTGAGCCGAAGGCAGACGCCCAACGACTGAGCCACCCAGGCGCCCCTGATTTTTTTTTTTTTTAAAGAAAATGTTTCCTGTGTATTAGTGACTTAAAAAGAAACATTAAGCAGATTTTAAAAAATAGACTTTATTTTTAGAGCGGTATAGGTTCATAGCAAAATTGAGCAGAAAGTATAGAGAGAGTTCTCCTATATCCCTTGCCCCAACAACATGCATAGCCTTCCCCAATATCAATCACAACAGAGTGGTACATTTGTTACAGTTGATGAATTATTATCAACCAACTCCATAGTTTACGTTAAGGTTCACTTTTAGTGTTGTCATTCTGTATATGTCAAAACCCATAGAATGTACAAGTATCCACCATTATAGTGTCATACAGCATATTTTCACAACCCTAAAATCCTCTTTGCTCTGCCTGTACATTCTCCCCTCCCCACAACCCCTGGCAACCATTGATCTTTTTACTCTCTCCTTAGTTTTGCTTTTTCTAGAGTATCATGTAGTTGGAATTACACAGTATATAGTGATTTCATATTGGCTTCTTTCACTTAGTAATAGGCATTTAAGGTTCGTCTGTGTCTTTTTTTTTTTTTTTTTT